CAACAACAGAATGCTGGTACATTAAAGTATGACTCAGTTGGGATGATCATTGCACTTCAAAGGGGATCAGGTTAACAATGTCTTTAGCACATCCTTTGTATCAGTGCCATCCTAAGCAGGTCTAGTCATTGGGGCTTATTCCCAGGAAAGCGTTCTTAGGATGGCATGCTAGATGGGATGCCTCTGGGGAGGTGTAAAGGGGTGAGAAAGCTCAGAAGACATCCTTTCTCTTCAAGCTGTGGGCTTGTATCATAAGGTGTAGGTAAAATATGCCTGTGCAGGAGATTTCAGTGCCTGTAGGAAGGAGAAGGTACAATCTATCTTCCAACATTGTACAGTTGTGCAGGCAGGCAGGGGTCCAGCATGGTCTTTGCATGCGTGGTGCAGATGTCCTGGGTATCTTAAGTCTACTTGAAGAGAAGAAGAGGAAGAGATTGGATTTATACCCTGCCCTTCACTTGGAGTCTCAGAGCGGCTTACAAACTCCTTTCCCTTCCCCTCCCCACAACAGACACCCTGTGAGGTGGGTGGGGCTGAGAGAACGCTGACACAAACTGCTCTTTTTCAAGGACAGCTGTGCCAGAGCTTGTGACTGACCCAAGGTCACATCAGCAGGTGCAAGTGGAGGAGTGGGGAATCAAACCCGGTTCTCCCAGATTAGAGTCCGCGCACTTAAGCACTACACCAAACTTGAAACCTGGTGGTCTGAAGGGAGCAGGAAAAGAAATGAGAGTGTGTTCTTTAAGCCTGTTTTTATTTCACAAAGTATTGTAACACACTGTGCAGTAGCTTTCAATTTATGCTTCCTCCTGGGAAATCTTGGAGTCTCTTAAAAGCTTAGGAAGGGTTCCTTAGTGATAAGAACAGCAGACAGAGTGCCATGGAAGATGGCTTGTCCATGCTCACTGAAGTACCTCTGCCATTTCACAAAGTATTGCAATATATCCCAGCAATATCTGTTTTTACCACTTTTGTTTTTCTGTTTTTACCACCTGGGGACTTTGAGGGTGGAGCCAGGAGACTCTGGGGGTGGCGCCTCACAAAGATGTGACATCACTTTGTGATGTCATGTCCTGTGATGTCACTTCCAGGTCAAAGGTCAGGTGATGGCACCTCCTAAGCCCCACCCTTTCCGATGATGTCACATCCTGTACCAAAACCCACCCCTTCATGTGATGTCACTTTCAGGCGACTCCCCCAACCCTGCCTCTTCCTCCAAAGTCAGCTTATGGCTCTCGAGCATCTGACATTAGTCTATGTGGCTCTTACATGAAGCAAGTTTGGCCACCCCTGGTCTATGCCAAGGGTAAGTCCAAATACACTACACAGGCAAGTGGCTGCCCTCCATCTTACCTCCAGTGGGGGTTTACCTAGTGTCTCATTATTTTCTAAAGAGAGTGACCTTACCTCATGTGCCTACCAGCCACCATTTTCTGTTATGGAGATTCCATGCATTACTGCAAGTATTGACTAAAACACCCTTTAAGCCCCTGAGCAAGATCTTAATTAAGTTCTTTACTCTTGAAGTATTGTTTTGGATTATATGGGTTAGGGGGACTTCCCATCATTAAATGGTTTTTGTTACGTTTCACAAATATAGGATGGCCCTCTAAATGGATCCCACCTTTCTTCCAAAGTTCAATTCAGTTTTTCATTGGTCGCAAGAGATCAACTTGCCATCCTTCTGTTTGAAGCCTTCTCATCCAAAAGACTTCTTAAACCTGCATAGGGAGAATCTGCATCAGTCACATTGATCCTTTTCAGAAGTTGGATAGCTTGTTCATGGCTTACCATCTGGTGGTAAAGGGCAAAAGATGTTTCCAATGCAACCCCGAGCAGTTGAATTACGGAGTATATAATTCTGGCTTATTCTTCCTATGGTGCACAGCTGCCAGCAGTCATTACAGCACATTCAGTCAAAAGTAAAGCCACCTCAGTGTCAGGATCCCCACAGCGTTCAATCAAATACACGTTTGTAGCAAAGTAATATTTATTGAAGCTATGAAAAGACTGGAACACGTAGACTGTTTGGAATAACCAGAGGGGTTGGGGCACAGAATAATAAAGCAGGTTCATATTTGCAATAACCAATGAACTTGGTTCCCGCTTGCACGGGTGAGTTAAAACTCGCGCCTAGAGCCTGAGAATCAACTGCTCCTAAAAGATAAACAATTAATTACTTCTCACACTCTACTTCATTATAGATTAAGCGAAGACAAAGCGGCTCCAACTTCGCACCTGTGACCTTGCTGATAACTATAGTTCAAAGCAACACTCGCGTTCATAGAAAGGAATGCATGAGACAAGCAAATGGGTGCTTCATAATATTGGCAGGCATGGTGGAAAATGTCATATGTGTTAAATGGGAATGAAAAGATTTTCCTTGTTCCAGTTCTTTAATGTTCTGTCCTCTGCCAGAAGCTTTGCTCCTTTCTACTCAGGGGGATTTCATTACAACTAAAAGCATCTCCAACTCTCTGCATGACTCATTCATTGGTGTACAGGAACCTTTCTGTGACCAAGAGCTTAAGGTTTTCTTGGAGACCAGAAAGCTGTCCACACAAAAAATAGCTTCACCTGTTACATAATAATCCATAACGATCTATTAAAGGGACAGGACTTTTTAAAATCCAAGCTTGCTATCAATGCTAGGTGTGTTATAAACTGACACGTCAATTAATAATGTAGTCCATTTTAGCAGCTAAACGAAATGATATGCAATAAATGTAAAATGATGCACATTGATTATTTTAGTTCTGTTTTATGCTTCTTTTCATTACTTCTCTGTTTAGCTGGCAACTGAATGTTTCACCCTCATCCTCTAGTCAAGTGACCAATCAGCTTTACTTTCTTATCAGGTGCAAGTATTGACAATTTTATCCGTGCTGTGAAGAGTCAGAATATCTTTGCAGAAACAGCCACTGTTAGTAGTGTCAGTGACCAGCTAGTACACAATGGCGCTATTAAAGTGGCCCAGGAAAAGGAGGTAAATTTAATGTTCATCTATTTCTTGTGGAAGAAGAAGAAGAGATTGAATTTATACCCCGCCCTTCACTCAGAGTCTCAGAGTGGCTTACAAACTCCTTCCCCTTCCCCTCTCAGGTGGGGCTGAGAGAGCTCTGAGAGAACAGTCCTTAAGAGAATAGCTCTGACAGAACTATGGCTTGCCCAAGGTCATCCAGCAGCTGCAAGTGGAGGAGTGGGGAATCAAACCCAGTTCTCCTAGATTAGAGTCCATGCACTTAACCACTACACCAAACTGGAAGTAAACAGAAAGGCTTCTTATTATAAGTTGTGATGTCCAGGGCTTTTTTTGGGGGGGGGGGTTGGTGCTGGAATTCTCAAGAGGGAAATGAATTTTTCAATCTGTATACTGAAAACTCATGAACTTTTAAACATTTTAAAAAGAATTTTGTTGAAGAGGTTCCAGAACTCTGTTCCAGCGCATTCCCCAGAAAAAAAGCCCCAGGGATGTCACAGAAGTTTGAACATAATAGACTTACAATAAGACTATTCCTGGTTTGCAATAGCCCAGTGTGCTCTGAAATTATTACTCTGAAGTTAAAATCAATATAAAATCATTAGTCTCACCAGTTGAAGGGAAAAAAATGTACCATGTTTCTTTATCAATGCACTATCTTCTCTTCTTAGCTCCTCAGGTACATGATATTATGAGAATGCATATTAATAGAAAAAGCAGGCCAAAGTAGACTTCTCAAAGAAAAATTATTTTTTAAGCATTCACAAGTGATGCTCACATTTGGCAGCCCAAGGGTGATTGAAGCTGGGGGGTGGGGGTTATTTGGCTATCCCTAATTATATGGCTTCCTTGAGATGCTCAGTTGTGGGATGGATGCTTGAAATGCCTTTCCATATATCCTTCCTTTTCAAACGGCACAGTAATTTAAAGAGCTGGTTATTTTTAATGTGGTTTTTATACACATTGGTGTTTTAACAACACAATAATAGAATTTGATTCCTAATGCTTTGAACTTTAAAGCAAGTATATTTTATGACTAATTACCGCTGTTCCACAGCTGTTCTCTAATATGCTTTTCAAATTCTTATTAGCTGACATTTAGATAAAGGCAGCCATTTAAGAGCCAGGCAAAAGGAACACATAGCTTGAGTCTCATGACGATTTGCATCTATGCCTAAATCTGTGTGTCTAAATCTGTGTCAGGAGGATTGTATAAATCTATTTACTTCATTTACTTCATTTACTGCCTTTCTCACTGAGACTCAAGGCAAATTACAGAAGTTCACGTGTTCATGGATTCTTCATCACTAAAATATGAGTGGTGAATTTCTATTTTCCTTACCCAATGTCTCTTTCCTTCAGAAATACAGGTTCACTCTTATGTGTCATATGGAAGTAAACAACTGCTTTCCAGTGCTTGTCAACATCATCAGCAATGCACTTTTGCAAATGTTTAATTCTACTTCCCATATTCGAATCTGGAATCATGTATTTTATTATGTAAGTATTTCAACTGGACCTCAAGATGTGTCACTTGTGTCTGTGTGTTTTCTGGGTGGGGGACATTTTTAGGATTAAAATACAATCGTAGATGTACATTACAATGTGGAGTAATCCACTGTTTTAACAATGCCAGAATTGTTATATGTACTGCTTCAAAGGATTCTGGATCAATTATTCTGATTAGACATTCCATTGTTTTCTGAGGAAACAGTACATGAGCTTGCATTGTTCACTCTCTTAGGAACCCCAGTAGTGATTGGTGTAGCTGTAATAAATGTCCATATTATGGTCCTCCTCCTTTCTGTCAGAAGTCCTTCTCTTTCACTTCCTGTAAGCCTCATGCCCTATTATGGAGGAGAAGGGTTGTGTGCCTTCTGCTAAGCATTACCACCATCCTTTTTTTTTCACCCCATGTGGCAAACAACCTACAGGTGGTACAGTTTTGATCAGAAAACTGGCATGAAGGGACAGTTAAGAATTTCCTTCCTCCTGCCATGCTCCAAAAATATCCCTGGTATTGGAATAAAGAAGTTAGGAGATGTGATCATGGACCTCCTGAATAATAGGCATTTTGGCCCTAATTAACAATGGAGTCCTAAGCAGAGTTACATTCTTCTATACCCACTGACTTCAGTGAATTTAGAAGGGTGTGACTGTGCTTGTTCTACAACCTAGCAGTTCGAAAGCAAGAAATTGCAAGTAGATAAATAGTTACCACTTCGGTGGGAAGGTAACAGCGTTCCGTGAGCCTTGGTGTTTAGTCATGCCGGCCACATGACCACGGAAACATCTTCAGACAGCGCTGGCTCTTCGGCTTTGAAACGGAGATGAGCACCGCAACCCTAGAGTTGGACTCGACTGGCTTTCGAGCAAGGGAATCTTTACCTTTAACTGTGCTTGAGATTGCACTGTTCATTCTTTAGGGTAAAGGTAAAGGTTTCCCTTGCTTGAAAACAAGTCGAATCCAACTCTAGAGATGCGGTGCTCATCTCTGTTTCCAAGCCGAAGAGCCAGCAGTGTCCAAAGACATTTCCATGGTCATGTGGCCTGCATGACTAGACGCTGAGACGCACAGAACGCTGTTACCTTCCCACCGTAGCGGTACCTATTTATCTACTTGCAATTTTTTGTTTTCGAACTGCTAGGTTGGCAGGAACTGGGGCCAGAGACAGGAGCTCACTCCGTCATGCGGCACTCAGGTCTCGAACTGCTGAACTACCGACTTGGTCTGCAGTTCAGCATCTTAACCACTTGAGCCACCGCAGCCCCTGTACATTCTTCAAAAAACCACTATTGTGGCACCTTAAGGAGGTACTCACAACCTGCTACTAGCTGGAGCATTGGTGACTCTCAGTGTGGAGAGGTCTTAGAAGAATCCAGCTTCACTATATAAAAGAATCCTGAATAATTATAGTCAAATACATATTTTTTTGCATTCAGTACTTTTGTGTGTGTAAGGGTAAAAATGCATATCATGTGGGAAATAGCACGCTCCAAACTCCATATTTCTTTTGTAATGTGGGAGGGATATTTTCAGGGTAGAATCAAATGGCTGAGGTGAGGGCTGCTTAAACAGTCCCCTGCTGCTCAGATTTCCCCTGCAAAATTAGTGGGAAATGGCCTCAGGGAAGACGTGTTGGCAGGGGCGCCAGAGGAGCAGTCGTGAACCCAGAGACCTCACTCTGTGCTTTCATGGGAGCTTGCTAGAAAAGGGAGTCGCTAGATGGCTCTGTAGAATTTCAATGCTATCACTGTATGTAGAGTATAATGCTAAATATTAATAAGCAGGAGGAAAGGTGACACTAGGAACCTGCAGGACAGTTGGAACTCTGGCCTGGTTGCTCAGTCGGAGCCACTTGTCGTTCAGGCACATCATGCCGTCTTGCACTCAGATTTGCCTGCCCATGGCCCACTCACTTCCTGGCTCAAAGTTCTGCTCAGTTACTATTGACTTGCCTCTAGACCACCAGTTAATTGCCATCGTTAATTTTTGTTCACAGTTTCTAAATCTACTAAACATGACAATACTTATTATAAACCTGGTAGGTTTCTTGATAAACTGTTTTTCTGATTCCTTTTCCAGCCTAGAGTCACTGATCTGTGGCTTTACTTTGCTGAAGCAAACTTTTTGGGAATTATTGTTTTATTTCCTGCTTTTGCCCCACACTTTGCAATGAACAGCGTTCATGACTACAAGGTAAAATACCTAAGTACAGATATTACTGGGCAATGTGCATGAAATATTTATTTGCAATGGCCATCGTTGTGATTTTAATTGAGAAAGGGTTGTCAACATCATATGAAAGTTTACCTAAGCTTTGTTTACAGCAGCAGTCCTAGCATCAGCTGCAACTTTGATGAAGGTTTGCAGAAAAATCCCTGTTCTCTGTATATAGTCCCATTGTGCAGATTTTTTGATCTGCACTCTAAGGCCATTGTCCAGAACTAAATATAATAAGCAGGGAAGGGACTCGGGTGGGCATCTCATTGTCCCCTCCCCCACTGTTTATTCTTTCCCTTCAATGAAAGCCCTTATGTATTATCCCTTTTTCCTGCTTCATTCTCCTTCCAACCCACCAGCCAACCTACCTCTATCTGTCCCCCAGTCTTCAGTTTTTCTTCCTTCCCTCCCTCTTGCAGCTTCTACCTGGAAAAACTATGGCCCAGGTGCATGGTGCTGGCTGCTGGGCCAGACCCAGGTGTGAAGTTTCATCCAGAGGATCTAAAGGAGTCTAGTCCCATTATACCATTTTTCATTGAAAACCTGCTAGAGTGTTAGATTGGATGCAGAAAGCCAGGCTCTGGCTTCTAATGTTTTCTAGCCAAATTCCACTCAGAGGGAAATGCCTGAAATGCAATAGGGGGTGTTCACCAGCTGCTGAAGAAACTGGGTGAGAGGTCAGTCCAGGGTCTCACTAGCAGAGTTCATTCAAATAGGGGCACTACATAAAATAAGGGGAAAACCACTACATAAAATAAGGGAAAAACCAGGAATAAAAGAAATTTAGAATAAAAGAAATTTCAAAGTGCTCCTGCACTTAATCTGACCATATTGTATGTCAACTTTTGGTGAGGAGTCCAAGATAAATGAGATATAAACAAGGTACACAAATATCTAATATCTGTTCTTGCCAGTTCAAATATATAAATTTCTTGCCCTGTATAGAGGTTGTTATACCAGCTGGGAACAGTGACCACAACCCTATTAGTTTGGCATTCAGGTCAAAGTGGGCTAGCCAAGTCCCACCGGGGGGAGGGGAATCCCCACCCCAGAGGCCTGTTTCCCGCCGCCGGCGGATCGGGCTCCGGGGGAACCCCACCCCCAAAGTACGCGACATGCATGTCACCCGGAAGTGATGCGACCACATCGGGCACGCTGGGGGCGGGACCACAGTCATCCGAGGGAAAACTCTATGGTTTTCCCTCAGATGTCGTGGCCCCGCCCCCAGTGTGCCCGGCGTGGTCGCGTCACTTCCGGGTGACGTGGATGCAGCGCGCGCGCTCTCCAGGAGCTAACCGAGAGTCCCCCACTCCAGATGAAGGTACGACTTGGAAACCCTAGGTCAAAGGAAAGTTACCCCTAAAGTCTAAAACTGTAACATTTAATTTCAAAAGAAGGAACTTTGAAAAAATGAGGGAAATAGTAAAAAGGAAG